TATAGAAACCTGAAAATGCCCAGTGTTAAGCACATGCAAGAGCAAAGAGAATCACTTGTCTTGGGATAGAAAATGACACACAATTACAAACTAAACTGTAGACAATTAAAAGAAAGATAATTTAACTTTAAGCCACATACGCTTCTAAAACATAATAAATCAATGAAGGTTATGAAGGCAAATATAAAATTCTGAGAAAAGTTCTTTGAAATTTAAATGAAGATTTTTCTATAAATAGAAATCACAATACAATCAATACAAATGTTGCAATTAGATTCACACAGACCACCTGTTAAGTGGCTGTTGTACTGATAACTAAAACCCTGTAGTTGTGACCTTATCTTCTGAAAGACCCTGAATATGAACCTTTGAATATTCAGGTTTTGAGCACCACCTTCTTTCTAATCCTGCTATGTTCTCACAACTACGCATTACAGTATGTGTGCTAGGTTCCACAGTACAGAATCAGGCTCATGTAAAACACAAATACGGAAATCTACTGCATGTATAGCCAAACTTTTTTTGGAGTTCTGAATAGAGTAGGGAAGTGTTAAAACCCCTGCAAGTTTATTTCTTGTCTTCTGCATTCTTTCAGGGGGATTAACCTAAACAGAAACTCAATCTCCCACAAAGTAAGGGGAATTTCCCCTTTAGAGAGTGGTCACTGGAACAGGTGTCAACATTTTTGCACATCTACTGTTCAGGTAACAATGCAAAAATTTAGAATTTCCTGTCACTTTTTGTTTCCGTGATAATGGTCACCAGGACTAATAGAGTGGTGAATCTCCTCAGTAGGGACAAAAGGCAGCAAATAAAAAAAATAAAAAATTGTCAGAGGTTCTAACGCTTCACCACTCCATTAAAAAAAAAAATAGTTTGAGCTATGTGTACACTTTAAATTAGGGTCCATTTGCTCTGTACATGTGCAAAAAGTTAGCACAAAGGTTTATGTTCGTACATCATAAAATGCAGTCAGAATTTGACCATGAATGTATGTTTTACTAGTTTTGCCTTATGCAGCTACTGTAAATGCTACAGACCAAAGCAGAGCAGTGTGAATGAGACAATAGCATACAGTATTGCTATGTTCAGATCTGTATAAATGAAGGATCTCAAAGTAGGGTATTGTATACCTGTGTGCATGAGCCTTGGCACAGAGAAAAAGTTGGCCAATTCGTAATAGTAGTCCTCTTAACCTTCCCTTGTAGGTGGCAGGAAAGAGTTCTCAAAAGATACAGCCATCTCTCTCTTTCATATAGGTATGGAGAACACAGGTCACCTTTATGACATTCATGGAATTGTCTAGATTTATCTGGATGGCTGTGTGGAATATATGCCATATGCTTGCGAGAATCCTAAAGATGAGCTCAACCGTTCTTGGACTATAGGTGAAGCTGCTTCTTAAATGGCTTAGTATTAGTTGCACATAAGGCCAGCATAGACCAAATGCCCCACAGAAACAAAAGTGGGTATGCTGACTCTATGGTTCCAGGTCATGTTCTGTCCTCTGGAATATTTAGTGTGTTATTTCTCAATTGCTCATGGAACTTGGAATTATTAGAAATGTAGGCATCACTACTGTGTCCAGAAGACCCAGCAGCGATGTAGGTGATAATCAGCATCCATAAACCCTAACCAAAACAAAATACTTCAACTAAAAAAAAAGTATTGGTTTTCACTACTTGTGGCATTTTTGTTCTCTGAGCAATAAGTCAGCAATTTCTTGCCATCTTCAGGCTGTAAGAGTAGGTATCAACAATTTTTGCAGGCTTCACCAGATTGCCTTGCATGTTGTTTGTACTATACAAGATATGGTTAATTTCCCCAAACAGAAATCATGGATACGTAGGAATGACCAATTGAAAGAAACCTGCAAAAACATAAAATATTTTATTAGGCAACATAAATATAATTTTTCTTTCAGTAAAACCACCCAAAATCAAATGAAGGAGCATGAAAGGCAATAAACATGAGGTGAAGGCACAGATGAAGGTGCAGTGTAATGGAACAGGAGCATGGAAAAGCAATACCTACACATTTTTTGCTCAGCTGGACTTCTACAACCTAATGCAGAGCTTTGTCAGTAAGTGAATACAGTTAGGAAGTTAGCGATGGCTATTTGATCAATAAATAAATAGTTAATTTTTTTTTTTAAATATACTTTATATTTATATAAAAAACAAAATACATACCACCCTGTACTGTAGTTTCAATCATTCAATACATTCGCTGCACAGTACAAAGCCTAACATGCTGTGCGGAGCAAAATACCTCAAATCACCACATCATGTATGACGCTGCTTTACCCCAAAAGCATTGTATGACCCCTAAATAATCACTTGAATACCCAACACTGCAATGTCAGATATGCTGTGCCTGAGTTAGACCCGTCCCACACACACATTCTACATGGCACTGCGACCAAAGCAAACGGTTCAACCAATATATTTCAAAAACATTTCAACATGCAATGCATTTGATGGGGGTAAGGAAAGAGGGATAACAGAGGAGGAAAATAGTTCACAAGCCCAAAGCTTCACTGAAAGGGCAAAGACACAAAAGGCAGAGTGGGGAAAATCTTCAGACATCCTCTTCCTTAAAGTCCATAAGGTTGTAGTCTCTGAACAGACTGTGGACCTGTCTTTGACAAGCCTTAGTGGACAGCCTCTCCTTCTGGTGGATGAGGAACTTTTTGGAGCACCACAAAGCTTCCTTAATGCAACACATCGCCTACCAGGGTCCATCAATGTCCTCATGTGTAACTGCACCACAACAAAATCCATTCAACACCCCAAAGTGGGTGATGGCTGTCTGTGGTACAGAGCCTTTAATTCAGGTTCCAAGCAAAGGGCACTCCCAGAAAACACGCAAAGCAGTTTCCTCCTGGATAATGCAAAAGGGGCTTAAATAGTTACACATACATATATGTCTTGCTTTAACTCTTCAAAAACGCAGGGGAAATGTGATGACAAGGACAAAAAGGGGGCAATATGCAGAACAGGCTGGTTTACATTGCCCTTTGAGGGTTGCAAGCAACCAGGACTTGTCTGAGCAGTTAATTTGAAGCAACTCCATGCAAAGATATCCTTACATGCACCTCTTGGCCTATAGGTGTACAGCTACCTCTTCCCTTAAGATGACCTACTTGATGCGTCACATTTTTTTAAAGAGAGAAAGGCTAAAAGGGACCTGTGTACTAATACTTGATGTCCCTTATGCCTCTAATGATGAAGGTGCCTGAGGATATGATACCAGCTTTGTGTAGAGACATGCTGGATCTTATAATCACTTACCACCAGGATGTCATGTCCATCCACTCCACCAATACTCACTGTCAGGGCTCTGGGTATGACCAGAGGTGTGTGGACTGACACAGGGAAACGCAGGCTTCAGGTAGAGTAAACAAGACAATTTATTAAAGACTAAACAACACAAAAGCAGTGCAAGGTAAACATAACACAGTGCAAACAACCCAACGTCCAACAGAGAACTAAATATACAAATTGAATTTAGTCGGGCAGGCCGGGTCGATAGCAAACGGGCAAACAGGATACCAGGAGCGAGTGGAAGAGTGGTCAGGAATAGCCGAGGTCAGGATAAGTGGAGTTCGTTCAGAGTCAGGATCAAAGCAGAGTCGGGATCAGACAGGAAGCAGACAGGATGCAGGTACAGGGGCTCATGGGAAACATACACCAAGGCACTGACTGCAGGTCTGGCCATTCCTTAAATACACCTCCTGCAATCAGCCTCAGGTGATGGCTGACTGCAGGAGTGAGCTTCTGGTTGCTGAGAGCACCCGCTGGCCAGCCCTGGTACTGCAGCCCACACGGCAGATGAGTCCCATCACTAATAGTGAGTCCATTCCTGACACTCACATTGCTATTCTCATCAGGGCTCATATTCCGCCACTGGACAGCAGGCTACTTATTTCAGGCTACTTAGTTGGGTTTTCTTCGGCAGGGCACATATTCTGTCACAGCTCAGCAGCCCACATATTTGTCCACTCCTTCACCTCCACATCACCAATTGCAGACCCCTTTGAGCACATTCTGAAGAGCACAACAATGAGAAGGATTGTGGGTTTGGCTCACCCTCCTTTTTCACTTTGTAGTTTTCTTTTTGAATATGTTTCGTTTATTAGCCCTTTTAGCTTTTAAAAATCAGAGAGCCAATTAAAAAAATATCTAGCAAATAAACACATTTAGCATAGATTCTCTTGTTTGTCTCTTTTATATATCATTTTGTTAGCTTCTACCAGGATTTACATATGCAGAATATATTTGATTAATGATTTAACATGAAAGTAATGCAATACTTGCCTTTCACCTACATTCTCAAAGGTCTAATGCTTAGGTTCTGATTACCCTACAGTTTGACTGTACATTCTCCTTGGATTTACCAAAAATATGTAATATGAGGACCAGTTAATCAATTTGTATAGAATAAAAGCAGGCACTTGTACTACATAGTCGTTGATGTCATCCAGTGTCACTAACAGGAATGATTCTATATGTGGAGGGATTTTTTTTTTCTATAAACATTAATAAACTAACATTCATACCACAAACATTACATGTATAAAGTCATCAACATTTTACAATTCATAAAGCAGCATAAAAGACATTAACTACTTGCCAACCGCAGATAGCCGAATGACGGCTACACTGCAGCCGGCCAGTTCTGGGAGGGCGTCATATGACGTCCTCCCAGAACACGCTCTCCTGCGAGCCCCTGGGGGCGCGCACCCCGGCGATCTCCGTGATCGTTGTGTCCGTAGGACACAGCTGATCACGTGATACTGTAAAAGGCCAATCACAGCGGCCTTTTACCACGTGATCCGACGTGTCCAATGACGCGCTGATCACCGGGAAATGCAATCGCCGGTTTTCGGTTGCACTTTCCTCACTCTGTCAGAGCGTGAGGAAAGTACTGCCGAGAACCGGCAGTTGTCAGAGCAGGGATCGGCACCGATCATCAGGGCGCTAATGATCGGTGCCCTAATGATTGGTGCCCAGCAGTGCCGCCCACCAGTTCCGCCCACCTGTGTCCAGCAGTGCACCCATCTGTGCCCAGCAGTGCACCCACCTGTGCCACCCAGCAGTGTCACACACATGTGCCCAGAAGTGACACCTACCTGTGCTCAGCAGTGCCACCCACCTGTGCCCACCAGTGCCACCCACCTGTGCTGCCAGTCAGTGCCACCAGTCAGTGCCCAGCAGTTGTGCCAATGCCTAGCAGTGCCGCCAGTCAGTGCCCAGCAGTGATGCCAGTCAGTGCCACCTATCAATGTTGTCTATCAGTGCCACCTATCCGTGCCACCTCATTAGTGCTGCCTATCAGTGCTGCCTATTAGTGCCCATCAGTGCTGCCTCATCAACGCACATCAATGAAGGAGAAAAATTACCTGCACTTTTTTTGTTTATAGCACAAAAAGTAAAGTGCTCAGCGGCGATTAAATACCACCAAAAGAAAGCTCTATTTGTGAGAAAAAAAAAGATAAAAATTTCATATGGGTACAATATTGCATGACCGCGCAATTGTCAACCAAAGTGCGACAGCGCTGAAAGCTGAAAATTGGCCTGGTAAAGAAGGGGGTATAAGTGCCTGGTAGGCAAGTGGTTAAAGGATGACAAATAGTGCGTAATGCTCATACAAGATGGATGCAAATCTTCACACTCTGTATTCCACAGGACATCATAAATACCAACAAATCTTGTATAACATATGATGATAATCTTGGGGATGATCTAATGTGCTTCAATAAACTCTTCCTCAGGGGATACAGTGGATATCTGTAATATACAAACTTCTAGGTTATACCCAATTTACTATAAATCTATCACACATATGACATAGTTACCCTGTATGATACCACATACAAGTGGAATACTGAATTGCAAACTCAGTCAGCAATATATGTTAAGAATCATAAACTGTCAGTTTCTCCTTTAGGGTTTGCCACCACCCAGAGGGGCAGGGGCACAGTCAACGGGCTGCCTGGAGGGTCCCCAGTGTAACTGAAGGATGTAATTAGATAAAATACTATGAACATTACCTATTTATAATGTCTATCGAACTTTGCCCCCATTTAAGCAATTCATTTGAACACCATAATAGACATCCAATTAGTTAGAAAGCTCAGTACATACCTGGCGGCTTATGGGATGGATGAAGAAATGTACAATTACATAGTATTACAATGTTCCCAGAAAAAGAGCTGTAAAAGTACAATAAATTAAAAATGTCAAACAAATCTATGTGTCTGCCAGTCTGATTTCGCCAAGTGGTTTCAATGTTGCTGTAAACATAATGCATTTAACCAGGATTCCCAAATGGCTACTGGTATACATAGTTAGAGACCAAGTGTGTCTAATAGTGATGGTCAATAGGCATTGGACGTTTTGTCTAACCTACTTCCACCATGACACAGGCCTCCCCCTGCATCCCTCCGTCATTTCTAGGTTGTGGCCAACATCCCACCCGGTGCTGATGAAGACACTATTGTCCCTCTTTACCTCTCCCACAGGAGCGGCAATAGGTCGAAGTCACACCAGGACCGGGACAGCCCACACTGCCGCATTGCCCTGTCTATTGCAGCAATAACCAAGGCACATAAAACCCTCCTGGCCACGCCTCCCAAGAGGCCACCTGGCACAAATCTCATTTCCAATCAGGCCACAGCTATATCCCACAGGAGATCTCCAGCTTTGCCATGCTTGCTAAATATATACTGTACCTGTATACATATATAAACACTCCATTAGTATATAATCAATGGATATTATACCAACAAATCTATACGTTATAAGCCCAAACTGTTCCTATACTGTACATATTTTAGCTTACATATCCACTTTAAGACCACAATACGCATATAAACGTTGCAGTTTTCAAGTGGTTTACTGGGGTTATGGCTGAAAATATTGGCCATAACCCTGGTATCGTTTCTTCAGCCGACTGTCGGTTTTGTGATGAAAGCAGTCCGAGCGGCTAATTAGCCACTGGTACACTTTTCGTAGCAGCAGGAGGGGACATCTTCCCCTGCAGATTGCCCATGATTCTCGGGCTTACCGTTAAAACCGACATGCCCGAGAAACAATCCAACGGTGCGGCCGGCTGAAGATAAAGTGAGACTCTATTGAGAACAAAGCAAAAACCCAACACAAGGAAACAAATATAGATACTGTAGCTTATGAATGAAAACATTTTTAATTTTCAGGTTCTTTACCTAACAAAGTTTACCTGACATTAAGCTCTCCAAAAAGGAGTCAAAACTGGTAATTTTGTTAAGCCTTGGAGGTACAGTTACAGGTTTGCAAATCCACCTAGATTCATTGTAATATCCTCCTATTCTATTCATCTCCACGTCCTCTCGAATCCTATCTAGGACCACAAATTTACTTTACAAACAATGTATTTGTGTGTTTCTACAACATGCCTATCTATGAGGGAGTAGATGTCCCTAATCTCCATAGGGTGCACATGGTCATAGATACGCCTTCACCACTCTCTTTTCATTTGAATGATGTAAAGGCTCCACATGGGCATAAGAATAGACATATATCACTCCCTTTGTGTTAGTTACAGAAATGTTCAAGGATGTATTCATGACCATTAGATAATTTTTTTCCTTTACATAAAAATCCACAATATCTACAATTTCCACATCTTTAAATGCCTTTTAATTTTACAAGGGTCCCCTTTGGCTTCACTCTTATAGGTGCCATGAATCAGTTTGTCCCGTATAGATTGGGCTCTTTTACAGGTAATTTGTGGTATGCCTGTCACAAACTTTCCTACCATTAGATCTGCAGTGAGCAAATGACAATATTTTGACATTATATTCCAAAACTACATGTGCTGATCTGTTCATTTCATAAAAATTCTTGTCTGTTTAACATCATCAGTTTTTTTCCTGTAATACAAGAAGTCACACTGTTTTGCTGAACAGCCCTATTATATGTTTTCTTTAAACATGCTCATGTGTCCATGCTGTAAAAGATGAGTTTTTTTTAGGGTCTATTTTAAGTTATTTTCATTGGAACAATTATGTCTCACATGGAGGTATTGACTATAAGAGATAAAATCAATCAAGGCCTTGGGGTAAAAGCTTACCACTCTTAAAATTGTATTACTTACAGTGGGTTTGCGATATAAAGTACTAATTGTCAGATGGTGAGACCATTATCTCCACATCCAGTAAAGTAACTGTTTACAAATGGCTTGTAATTGTAAACTTGAGGTTATAGACATTATGGTCCATGCACCTCACAAATTCCTGTAACAATGTTCCAGGTGCATCCCATACTATAAAGATGTCATCTATGAATCTATACCATATTAGGAAGCAGGCATCACCCAAAAGCAGAGCCGCTCCCACTCCCCCATGTACATATTGGTGTGGGATGAGGCACATCGCTATGCCCTGTACTGCCAACAACCTCAAGCCCCTATGTGGAATGAAACTGTAGAGAACGTCTACATCTTTTTTTTTTTATAGTTAAATCAACAATTTGCAATAGGTTTTTTGTGTCTTTATTATAGGAAGTAAGAGCATATTCAGATGTGAATGACTCCACTGGCATTCAGACATCCCCTTCCCCTGGAAATTGCACTGCCATGCAACACTGTACCCAACTGAAATTTATATAATTGTTTGACACAAAAAGAGCTTTCTTTTGGTGGTATTTCAGAGCACTGGTTAAAGCTTGTAGGAGTAGTTTTCTTTCTGCTCTAGAATGCAGAACCCTTGACCTCTGTCTGGATTGCTGATTGGCCCTGTACTGATCACATGCACTCTCCCAAGAAAAAAAAAAACACTCTCTAGAAATACACACCAAACTGAGCATGGGCAGAGTGGGTACACATGATATGTCTTATCAGGATCAGAGAGGTCAGGATCAAACAGCATTTTTACACAATGTAGAGGATTAACCCCGTAGGTTCAACAGTGAGTATATCAAGCATGATTTACTGCATAAACATACTAATTTTATTCTTGTGGGTTTAGTAACACTTTAATACTAATAATGGCAGCAATCAGCAACTTATACTGGGACTGTGCAGTGGGCAATCTGACACTTTGTGGAAACAGACTAATGCAGGCCATAGATGGGTTGAAAATCGGCTGATTTTTCGGCCGAGAAAAAAAAAAAAAAATGGCCGATTTTCGCACTATTAATGGGTTAAATGGTCAGCCATTTTTCTGGATTTTGCCACAATTTTTTGATCAGTAAAGTTGGAAAAAAAATCGGCCGATTTTGCCGATCAGCCAATTTTTGCGGCAATGATGGGCAAATCAGTCGATCTTTTTACAGATAAAAATTCTGCGCATGAGCCGTGACCTGCAAGAAAAAGAAAAACAAGAAGAAAAAGGAGAAGAAGAATTCCAGTCCGCTATTATATTTGACATGAAAAAGTATTGTGGTTGCAACACTGTACCTATCTGTATCCAAATAAAAACATCTGTATCCGAAATTCCGAAATGGATACAATGTTGGAACCGCTATACTTTTTCATGTCAAATTTAATAGAGGAGCTCTCAGCAGGGCACAGAAGTAATTAAATGTCTGCCGTAAACGGGATGAAAAATCGACTGATTTTTTTTTTACTGTTTGTGGTAACGTCGGCCTATTGAACTACCGATTTTTTGTAAAAAAAAAAAAGGCCAGTTTTTGACCCATCTATGGCCTGCGTAAACGACACTGACATATCCAGTGACACTAACACAGTGATCAGTGCTGATAATATACACTGTGTGAGCTGGGGATAGGCAGCTGGGCTATATGGTTCTTGGGGTAAGCAGTCTTTCAGGCACAGATACCAAATCCAGTAAGATTAGTGGCAAACAGTGAAGGTGTTTATTAGGGCTATTTACAAATGGCTATATACAAAGTGCTGTACAGTGTTTAACCAAAATAAACAGGGCAGGAAAATATAAAAAAACAAAAACCTAGCCGTGTCAAATACCCATACCCACTAAAAGGTGATACATATGGCAGTGGTGGGGGGGGGGGGGGGGGGGGGAGAAGGCAAACAAGTGGAGCTACCACTTTGATTGGAACTCCACTTTAACCCCCGGTTCACATATATGCAGCTGTGCTTTGCACGGGGACGAGAGCCCATTCATTTGGACTCCCATGCTCGTAACACACAGGGAAAAAGTCCCTGCACTTCTTTGGAAAACAGAGCCTGCACAGGAACCTCAGTTCCCAGTATGGTTGCGTTTTCCAGTGCGGGCGGCGTGCCATTAGACGTAATGGCACCTGCCCGTGGGTCCGCATTTCTCTGTGCGGGCAGTGCAGATTTTCATGCGGTTCCGCAGCAGCACCACCCGCACAGATGTGAACCTACGCTAAATGCGCACACCACACAGGTTTTCCCTGCCGCATCCTGTTCTGCACAGGG